TGGTAAAATCCCCTCCATCACTTCTTATCTAGGCACAATTAGAAATCAGCATCTAACATTTATATTTACATACTGTGCTATGTGCTGTCTTGACACCATATAAAAATAGTAATCACCAATACTTTATTCACTTTCTTGGCTTTCACAATAGCAGTTAAACACAGGAGTCAATCAGTCCATCTTTCCAATAACCTACATCTCTAATGGACCATAGAGAAAGCAGCCTGTTACCATGGAGAAGAAAAAGAGAAATGTTGATTGTGAAACTATTGTTTTTGAAACCTCATTAAAGAAAATTAAGAGCTCCAAAAGGTTGAAACGTCTTATAGATAGATCATGCCATAAATAAAGGGATCCCTTTCTTCTTGGGACAAATTTAGTCTAATTAACTCTGCTCCACAGTTAGTCAAAATCCTGCATAGTAGGGGGAGAATACTCAAAAACAAATTTTCTAACAATTGATTACAAACACAATTAGATTCAGGATCTCCATAAATGTTACATCCAATAATAATTATGGTACATCCATAATTTCTAACATTTTGATAGACAACCTGCAGTCTTTTCTCATGTAAGATTCCATCACTATTATGACAAGGAGAGTTGCTCAACCCATTTAAGCCAAATTTAACAGAGCGCGGGTTTGTGATAAGAGAAATCCTTGCTTGTGGAGTTCGCTGTTTTGTCTTGGTGGTGCCTCTGAGTTCAGGAAATAGATCCCACAAAGCAACTTAGGTTTGGTTTAAGCACTTCAGTGCCACACAAGGTACTTGAGTAAGAAGCCTAGAGCCTCTGAATTTGTCACCCAACCCCCTGGAGATACAGTAAGCTCATTGATGCATATGATTTTTACAGTAAAATTTCCTATGCCTAAAGGTTTGCACCACAGGCACAATGTTCCAAGGCTGGAAAGAGATGTCACCTTTGTATTGCCATAAGATGTTTTATGGCAGTGCAAAGGCCAACCAGACAGACATCCATGCCCTTTGTTGGACCTCAAATGCTCAAAATTTATGGCTGTGACATTGGTGGTATAAAAATATGCTGCTTTTTTTGTGATGGATGTCTGCTTCATGGGAGGAGAACACAGGCAGCCCAGAGCAGCAGGTGCTCCTGGGGCTTCAGGAGCTTGATCCTGAGTACCCTATGAATTCCTATTCATGGGGCATGCAGCCCCCAGAGTGTCTGCCCAGGTTCTCTCATTTTCAGGGGCATGCTTCAGAAATGCCCTGGGCAAATATCATGCTGCTGTGACGTGACTTGAGGAACACCTCTGCAAATGGGGAAACCCCAGGTTTTCCACTTGCAAACTTGCACCCTAGGAATCCCCCGGCAGGGAATTTGCCAGGTAGGGGTCTGCAAGCAAAGATATGGGTCTGTTTGCAGTTGCCGTACAGGATTGGGCCACTGAAGCCTAGAGACCAGCAGGGGCCTGACCTTGTGGGACAATGGGCAATGTCTGTGTCACCCAATGAACTGGATCAGCTGTGCTGGGACACATCCCAGCACAGCTAATCTGCTTCATTTGGTGACATCTGTTTATAGCTTAGCTGGATGCAGGAATCAGTACAGTTCTGTTGGCAGGTGCACCACATTGACTAATTAGTAGGATTGGGCACAACTAGCCCAGGCAGAACTAAAGCAGCTATACCTCTTCTGGTAATCAAGTTAACTCAGTCTGAGCTCATACACCGTGGAGACATGCCTATGGCTAATTCGCTTGTGTATGTGATCTGCAGGGATACTGGTTTTCTCTGATAAAAAAAAAATCCCCAGTTTTCAGTTTAAAAACAAAGAAGTAACCCCAAATCCACATTTTTCCGTGATTAAAATGAAACACCACTATATCTATATCCGTCATTTTAAGCACGGAAAAATGTGGATTTGGGGTTACTTCTTTAAAATCAAAAAATGGGGATTTTTTTTAATCAGAGAAAACCAGGATCCTTGGTGATCCACCCTAGATGTAGGAGACCTGGGCTGAATTCCCTCCTCTTGTTGAGATTTAAATCCACACCTGTCTCAAGGTTGACTTAACTACCAGGTTATAGAGTATCTTGGGGTAGGGCACTGTTCTCTTCTAGGGAAGATATTCTACTTTATACAGATTAATTCACTGGTCAGGGAAGAGAATATGGATTGATAGTCTAGTGGTTATCCCACAACATAGAAGATATTGTTAAACTTCCTCTCAGGCAGAGGCATGAATTAAAGATAGATATCCCAAGGCCTTGGTGAGTGCTCTGATCCCTTAGTTATATGAGAGAAGGAAACTATACATACTTAAATGCAACAAATACAAAAATAGGTGTATCCCCAAAGCAATATGTCTGCCATTATTAGGATGGGCAGGGCAAAATCTCTCTCCTCCCAACTATAGCCATCTCCTCAGCTTTTTTACTGGCTACCTACAGCAGCTCCCTGCTCAGCTGGGTTTTATAAATTCCACCCTGAGACACGTAAATCTTCCCATGCATTATATAGCAAACCTAAATATTGAACTCAAGGCTACGGCTTTCCATGAGAGATGGGAGACTGAAAAGTTAGGTGTTGCAACATTGAGTTGAAGTTTGTTTGGTGAGTCTAGCTCCAAAATCCTGACCTTCAGAAGAGTTGATAAGCATCATTATTTATTTGAGACTGGCTTGAGAAAGGCATGTGCTGGACAAACAAAAAGTGGATACGTATTTTCAAACTATGTTGTGGGATGGATTGTAAGGAGTGCTTTAAAACTCAAACTTGCTCAATGTCTTACCTATAGTTTGGGTTTCCTTATCTTAAATTGAGAAAAAATGCAATTGAAAACAAAACTGCTATTTTTCCTTACATATTCCACGCAATCATTGTCTGTCTTCATGAAATGGGAGTTCCTGAATTCTTGGGATAAGACTAACTCTTCTGCCAGATGCTATTTAAAAAACTTGGTATCAGAATTCCCCAAATTCCTAAAATGTACCAAATATTATGCCAAAGATTTTACAAATCAACCTACCAGTTAAAAGAATGTTTTCTATGTAGTGTATAGGATTATCATGTCCTGTTCTTGACTGTGCCATAGAATCACCATGTGATGAAGTCAAACAATTTAAGATAAAATGTTCATAGGAAGATTTTAATTTAGGGACCCTCAATATTTGGTGGACAACTTTAGACAATTGGTCCAGATGCCACAAAAGTATTTTGATGCCTAACTACTGTTTCCCACTTCATTAAAATGAGCTGAACATCTAAAAATACTTTGATATTCATGGGTGCTAAGCATCTGCATCTCTGCGTGACCTTAACTGAAAGTTTGGGTGATAATCATCAATAAGTATTAAGGAAATGAGCTACCCAAAAAGACAATTTTACAAATTAGCACTATTATATTTCTGTATTTATACATCCATCTATAAAACTCTTGTTCCATTATGCTGGTATAGGATAAATTTAGTTCAAACCTACAAAGTCTCCCAATCCTTCCTTACAGTATCTTGCTATTCAAATAAAAGTTTAGGTATATCTTCCCCACATCCAACTGGTAGACCTTCATTGCAATACAGTTTTTTCCAAAACTGGGATGAAGTTATTAATACTATTTGATTATGGCTTATAATACTAGTTTTCCAGAGACAAAACAACAGATATTAACTATGCTTAGTTTGAAGGATCCAGAGCTTGGAGATTTTAGAGAGCTGGCTGGCATAAAAAAATCTGTCTGGAAGAATGTGTTTCACTGTATAAGGAAAATTGAAAATATAAGAATCCAGAGCCATAGGGTCTGTATGAAAGTTGGTACATAACAAAGCTGGGCAGTATGTGCTACAATCAGAAAATGGAGGGAACTGATTTTTAAGATCTGACATCTAGGCATCCAGATCTCATGGCCATCATTCTTAGCTGTTTCAACCCACTGATTTTTTGATACATCTCAGAATTTATGAAATGTTCCTGTTAAGCTACTAAAATGAAAATGGTAAACACATTGTTTCAATGATGAAAGTGGTAAGCTACATAAAACAATAGTAACTCTAGTAATATAATCTTGTTAAAAACGTACATAAAGTAACTAAAGACAAAGAGACACAGATTGGGCAGAGGAGAAGAGCCCATTGGGAAAGAGCTGCTCCATGGCACCAAAGCCTGTAGAAGCTCTTCTATTCCAAACCCCCCAGGCTGTGAAGTTCAGGCAGGACTATAGCAAGTGAAGGCATGGATGTGTCCTTTGGGGAACGATCCTGTTTATCTTCCATGGAAGTTACTGCTGGAATGAAGTACATTCATTCCCATACACACCATTCATGAATCATGCATTTGCAAGGGGAGGTCATCAAGTCCATATCATGGGCGAACGATGCTCATTGTGAGTAGGAAGGGCCTAAGTCTCTCATGGAGGGTCCTGAAGTGCTGAGAGCAGAGTTCCATCTAAACCCAAACTTCCTTAAGGTAGGGCGCGCACATTCCTCCAAATCCCTCTAACAGCAAAGCTTTTTGAGTTCTTTGTTGTGTTTTGGGTCCTTTGAGCCCTTTGATCCCAACAGGGAGGTATGAAATAACCCATGGACTTTATCTTAACACTGTTCCTGTAAAAGTTGGTACTAGGGCATGAATAAATTACACAGGTAGGGCAGCCATATTTTTAAGTGTGCAGTAGACACATTGTTTAAGGTGTTGCAAAAACCAGCTTCACAGCTCTAATCACAATTATCTCTGAAATAACTTAGTATTATATAACTCAGAATTACCTTTTCTCAATCAAATTATTAAGTATAACACATGGTCAGAAGCATTTTTTCTATGAGAACTGTGCTTCTGTAATGTTAATTACTATGGTCACAGATAAGCTAGAGAAAATGAAGCATTGAAAGTATTGATTTAACTATTAAAACCTTTGAGCAATTATTTGATGAAGAATGCCTTCAGGCTCTCTTAGTTAGAACTATTTGAAAAAAAAAACTGAACTCTTCTTCAAGGTTAAGTTTAGAATGAGAACTAGTGAGATGTGCTAATCTGCACTGTACCTGTACAGATGAAACTTGATAGTCCTCCATAGATGACATCATCATTGTCTGGTAATATAAATGGACACCTTGTCTGAACCTCCAAACAGTATTGCTTGCAAGGAATTCTGTTGCTGCAGTGAAACTGTGTGACTTCAAAATACTGGGAACAGAGCCAGGCTTTGTAGACAGTCTAGAAAAAGAGAAGAATCAAAAGTATACATGGATGACAATAGCACCGTCATTATTAGAAGTACATACTGTACAACACACCTATGTTAATGCTGCTGCTTCACACAAGTGTTAAGAGAATATCCCCTGAGTAAAATAAACTCATATCTTTACCCTCCCACTTTGGATCAGAAGACCCCAACCGAGTCATCTAAAATTACTGTGGTTAAAAATATAAACTGTCACTGCAGCATGGTTGGATTAATATTATTCCTTCATCTTAAATTTTCTAGAGTTGTATTCTATGATGCAGCTCTTAGACATGTATGAAATATTGTACTTTTACAAATAAGTGAGATCCTATGCACAGTTAGAACTGATCTGGAAGAAGCACAGGAGATTAAAAAAAAAACACAGTAAGGAATTTCCAGCTGAAATTTATTTAGTGTAATCAGACTTGTTTACTCTTTGTATTGTTACCATGTGGAGCAAAGCTTTCAGGTCACAGTAGATGGTGCTGCTCTCTCTCAAATGAAACCCTTGGCCAGCCTATAGCACTAGAGAGCACATTAGGGTGTTTGGACAACAATAGCCATGAAGTAGGAGCTAAATCTATAAACAGTCAGAGAGAACATTCACATCTGGAACCAGATTTACCATACTAAAGACTCTAGCAGCTGAGGCGGAGCACCCTACAGAAACAGATGTCATTAAAAAAAAATAAAAGAAGCAAATATTTTTAAAGGAAATAAACAAATGAATTGTGCCTGTTTTTATTTTGTCTTTCTTAACAGAAGATGACATTCATAATTTTAATTTAACTTCATTTGCCATTGAAATGCTTCACGAATGACCATTCAGAAAATGCAGAAGTTGAATTTGTTGAACATTAAGCAGTCACAGTGGGGAAACACCTACGTAACTGAGTTCAATAGCAATTTCCTGTTTTTCTAATACATTTTCCCCCACTAACCTATTTTGAAGTACATTGTTTAAGGTTTTTATTATCTAGGATTCTTGATCATGAGAATTTCCATTCATGTATTCATTCCAAAATATTTGAGAACACCATTCCAAAATATTTTTCTTAGGATCCTATGAAAAGTTTAGAACTTCATTTCTTCTTTTATAGGCTGAAAAATAATAGTTAGCTGATTATTTTCCCTCTTGTTATACATACTTTGAATAAAAAAAGAAAATGATTAAAAATTTAAAGCACTGAAAATTCAACAACTGATATTTGAAAGGGACAATTTACTGAAAGTGTTGGTTTAATTTCAGAATGTTTAATTTTATCAGCTGTAGTTTTTATTAGTGTCAGGAAAAGTTTAAGTTATGCAATTAATTCCAGAGCAGCAGTTCTAGCACCATAAAGCCATTATTTTAGCTTATTTGCAATGGCAGCAGGTACGGGCCAGGTTGCTAAGTGACAAACTGAAAACTTTATCACTAATCTGTCCTTTATGATTGCCCCTTTGTCACAGCTTTTACCTATTGTATAGTGAAGAAAAATATATTCCCTTATCAATTCAGTTTTAATTTCTTGCATACAGTTAGTATTTGTGAAAAATGATTAACAAGGCAGCCAACCAAGTGATGTGTTTGTTCATTCTTAGATAAACTTTTAAATTACAAATGTAATATCAAATTATTAAAAATTGTTGAATATGTGTAATATTGAATATTGACTATGTACTCTCATGCTTTCAGTGGTTTGATTGATCTAAACCCATATATTGACCCTCCAGGGTATGATAAAATGATGTATTATGGTTCTGCTTGTAATTTCTGGTGAAGCGTAGTCTGTTGGTTGGAAAAGGAAGCTTGGCTCTCATAAAGGGCATATTTTGACAAATCATTTACTTCCCTATGTCTCATTCTTGCTCATCTGTAACATGCACCATACCCTCAGTGTCTGACACATTTACACATTAAAAATATGAGCAATCCCAGGATAAAAGCTGCTATGTGAATCTTCTATAAATATCTATATAGGTTTTTGGACAGTGAAGTATGCAGTATAGACTACTGGGCAGTAAATAACATGTAATGCTGAATCTATGTTTAAGAAGGATTAGAGGTGAACAGTATTCAGAAGCTGGAGCAGCTACATTTAATCTGCACAGGGTGATTATATGTAATTTATGACCAACTTTAGTATCTGTTGTCAGGTCACATATGTCATTCTACAGTTCATATCCCTTCATCAATTTTTAGGCTTTCTCCATACAATTAAGTTGTTGTACCTTGCTTTTAAAATTTGTGTCTATCCCTTTCAAATTTCATTTCTTGTAATTTTTATCCAGACCCTCCCATTCCATCTCCTGTCTGGTGTTTGTTACATTTTCTCTCCTACCTGCTGTAAATTTGGGTTGGGAACATTGCCTTTTTATTTGGGGCTCTTGGCTCTGGTACTTTTGCCCTTCTTAGTCAACCAAAGTCCAGATTTGATGATCTTCAGATCTTGCTGCAGGTTCATCTATTCTGCCCGATTCCTCTGATGGCTGGTTTGAAGGGATATAGTCCTAAGGATAGGAATGAGTACTATGCACTGTCAGTCAGTGATTTCCTATTTTTGGTATGGATCTATCTAAAATTATATTACTTTTGCTTCTATACAGTCTAAACTGTTGAGAATGTCAATAGGTCTTTGATATATGTAAACAAAAAATCAAATATTGTTATACCTGATTATTATTCCTATCTCAAGGAATACCAATTGCCACGGAATTAATAGGGGAAACCTTTCAAATAGCCATACTTACCAAAACAGACTGTGGTCAGAGATAAACCCAGCCTAGAGGCCCATACACTAGCATGTTGAAACATACCAGTTTCTATAGCCAATGGTATATCAGAGCATAAAAATGGCTAATACCACATTTGGAAAAATCCCAGAGCAGGGCTTGTGTTTACACCTGTGGAACTTTCTAGTGAGCTGCTGGAACTACTGTGCCCTACTAGAGAAAAAGCCTCATCCAAAGTACTATTTATAGTTTCATAGCTTCACAGTTGGTAGGGTCAGAAGGGACCTGAGCAGATCATCAAGTCCAACCCCCTGCCATGGGCAGGAAGGGATGCTGGGATCAAACGACCCCAACTAGGTGATTTTCTAGCCTCTTTTTGAAGACCCCCAGGGTAGAAGCGAGCACCATTTCCCTTGGAGGTTGGTTCCAGATCCTAGCCGCTCTGACTGTGAAATAGTGCCTCCTGATATCTAGCCTGAATCTACTGTCCGTCAATTTATGGCTGTTGTTCCTCGTTACTCCCGGTAGTGCTCGAGGGAACAGGGACTCCCCCATAGCCTGCTGGTCCCCCTTAGCCAGTTTGTAGATGGCCACCAGATCCCCTCTCACCTTTCTCTTGTGGAGGCTGAACAGGTTCAGGTCCCTTAGCCTCTCTTCATAGGGCCTGCCCTGCTGCCCCCTGATCATGCAAGTGGCCCTCCTCTGGACCCTCTCCATGCTGTCCACATCCCTCCTGAAGTGTAGCGCTCAGAACTGGATGCAGTACTCCAACTGCAGCTTGACCAGTGTCGCACAGAGGGGGAGGATCACCTCCTTGGACCTCCTCGTGATGCATCTATGGATGCATGACAAGGTGCAGTTGGCCTTCCTGACCGCATCCCCACATTGGCGGCCCATGTTCATTTTGGAATCAATAGTGATTCCAAGATCCTTTTCTGCTTCTGTGCTGATGAGAAGGGAGTTCCCCAGCCTGTAGGTATGCTGCTGGTTCTTCCTCCCCAGGTGTACCACCTTGCACTTGTCAGTATTGAATCCTATCCTGTTCTCATCTGCCCACCCTTGTAACTTGTCTAGATCTAGTTGCAGCCTATTCCTCTCCTCCAGCATGCCCACTTCTCCCCACATCTTAGTGTCATCCGTGAATTTGAACAGGGTGCTTTTCCTTGTCCAAGTCACTGATGAAGGTGTTGAACAGTGTGGGCCTGAGGACCGAGCCCTGGGGGACCCCACTGCCCACATCCCTCCAGTCCGAAAATGACCCATCCACCACCACTCTCTGGGTGCGGCCCTCCAGCCAGATGGTGACCCATCTGACTGTGTAGGCATCGATGCCACAGTCACTTAATTTTTTAATGAGAATGGGGTGAGCTAGTTTTTGGGGAGCTAGCTTTAAATGTCTTTGTCAAGCTCTTGCAAGATATTATAGCTCTTCACAGATTGTAACACCTAAATCCAAGAGCTTTCCCTTAGAGTTACAATACCAAACCTCCAAATCTTCAAGGGAGTAATCTACTATTTGCCTTACAATCTCATAGCACTTGTTTTTAAGACCATCTTTCATTAAAACTCATCAGAAGCTACTTCCACAGAGGACTATATTCTGTAAATGGGATGCAAACAGAAGTCAACTGAGGAAGTAGCCACTGTAGATAATATTCTTTCAGTTATATTGAAACACACTTAAATGAAAGAAACAATTGAATGATTGATGACAGTTCCACTGAGTAAACATATTTGCTAGGTGTTTCTGTTACTTACCTAGTAATTTCAGTGTTTATTTAAACTAGCATTTAAGCGGTCATATTGTGGTTTAAAAGATCAGACTTCATTAAAATGAGTGGAGAGTGCTCCTAATACTTTTAGGACAATTATTTCAGTTGCTCTGTTTACAATGTCAGCAACAATACCTCAGATGATCTTATCAAGATTATTAATGCAAACAGAAAATCTAGCAATTAGGGATAGGTGAACCTGAAACAGATCTTCAAATAGATATACTTGATTTGAGCAATGTATTAGTATTGGGCCTAATCCAGAAAGATGATAAGCATTTTCAAGTTCCAGTGAACTCAATGTATAATTCAGGTGTTCAGTAGCTCTCAGAATTTGGGATATAGTTCAATTTCTGTTAAAGATAACAGGAAACTTTCCATTGATTTCAGTGGGTGTTTCATTGGTCTATTAGGACTACTTTCATATTTGAAGCTTATTTTTCATGAACTGCCTAGGCCAAATTTTGTTCTGCCTTGCAGGCACACAAGTGTGATTTTATTCT